CCTGGGGGCCCGCCCGCCTGCTTTCTGGCCTCCTGCCAGGCTCCGGCGTCAGGCACCCGGCGCGTTCTCACGCGCTCCGGGCGCCCCCTTTGCCCCCCCAAGGGGTTCCTGCAGCTGCGCTGGTCCCGCTTTGCCCGCGTGCTCTTCACCCGCTCCTTCGCCATCCTCCCCACCGTCTTCATCGCCGCCTTCAAGGACGTCAGCCACCTGACGGGCATGAACGACCTGCTCAACGTGCTGCAGAGCCTGCTGGTGAGAGCCGGGCGGGCGCACGGCGGATGGGGGCCGGTCCTGGGAGCGGGGTCCCCTCCTCCTCACCCTGCCCCTCTGCCGCCCGCGTGCTCTTCACCCGCTCCTTCGCCATCCTCCCCACCGTCTTCATCGCCGCCTTCAAGGACGTCAGCCACCTGACGGGCATGAACGACCTGCTCAACGTGCTGCAGAGCCTGCTGGTGAGAGCCGGGCGGGCGCACGGCGGATGGGGGCCGGTCCTGGGAGCGGGGTCCCCTCCTCCTCACCCTGCCCCTCTGCCTTGCAGCTGCCCTTCGCCGTCCTCCCGGTTCTCACTTTCACCAGCATGCGGCCGCTCATGCAGGAGTTTGCCAACGGCGTGTGAGTATCTGCCCCGGGGACCCCGCCCCCACTGGCCGCTGCCTGGCGCCGCAATCAGACCCCCCCAGGCCGATATTAACAAGCAGCAGAACCCCAGAACGTTGGAGGACCGGGGGGGCGGGGCATCCTTCAGCCAATCACGCAGTGATGTTGCGGGAGGGGCGGGGCATAGGTGGGCAGGGCCATGCTCGCCATGTGCTAGCCAGGGCATGCAGCCCGGCACGGGGAGCTCAGCTGCAGGGGAGACTGCCCCTCCGGTGCCCGCTCCAGGCAGGCGTTGGGAGGGGGCCGGGCTGGGCTCACGGGCGCTCTGGTCTCCTTGCAGTGTCAGCAAGGTGCTGATGGTCCTCATCACCGGGCTGATCTGCGCCATTAACCTCTACTTCGTGGTGATCTACATCCCCACGCTGGGCAGCCTGGCCTACTACATCCCCCTGGCCTTCGTGCTGGCCGGCTACCTGGCCTTCACCGCCTACCTGGTAGGGGGGCTGGGCAGGCGGGGCGGGGCCTGCGCTCTAGGGCTGGTGGGGGCTTGGGACCTATGTCCCTCCCCAGTGCCTGGCCCAAAGGGGAAACCTGCTGGTCAGATGGGGGGGTTAAGGGGGAATCCCTCAGCACAGCCCCTGGGCTCCGAGCAAGACGAGGTGTCTGGGGCGTACTGGCCCCTACCTGCTGCCTGGCAGACCCCAGCCTGGGGGAGACCAGAACCGGCTG